CAAAGACTAATTCTTAATTTGATGTTCGTCTATAAAAACAATTCAATTTATTGAGGAAAAGAAAATCGACCTTTGTTGCTTAAGTGGGTGCCGCCTTCTCGACGCATTACGGCTATTTAACAGAAGAGAAACAACCAGTTATCGAACTTCAAGCTCAATTGCGACTCCGCTTTCTGGGCATCTTGTATAAAATACCAATCTTCGATGTCTCCCTATCCCTTCGGGTTGCTTAGGCAGCCGCGCCGTGTCAGGTAGTGTGTACAATAATACGGTCAAAGCATTTGTTTGTAGTTTTGTATGTAGGTTTAGCAACTAGGGTTGGACTGAACCAGCTATTAACGTCGCCTAAATCATTCTGAGAAGACAAAGCGTCAGGTATCTTTAATCTGGTAGTCGGTTCTTGACCCTGATCCCCCACACAACAATGACGAATGTATGTTCATTCTGTAATGCAGACCACACGGATAATCCAGTCGTAATCAGTACAAATTCCACGTACCGGAATGATCAGGATGTTCACCGTTGGGAGGGAAATATCGGTCCGGGAAGAGCATATCGAACTTTACGCCATCGTACCTACGTGTGTTCTGCACGTACATTCGCACGTTCAACTTCAGGCGACGCATGAATTCGAAGGACGGTGTACCGAGCTTCTCGATGATTTTGCCCCATTGGTCGAAGATGCCGATACCCGGGAAAAGAATATGCCCGGAAAATAGCTCAGCCAAAATGCAGCCGACCGACCAGATGTCAACTGAAACGCGTTTAAAGTTACGTTTAGCACATGCGTCATAGTAGTGATGAAAAAATCAAACTTAAAACAAGAAATAAACCTGCCCTTTTCGTCGTAATCCATTCCTAGTATAATTTCTGGAGCCCGGTAGAACCTCTGCTGTACATAAGGACTGTGCCGTAAGGATGGGCGCAGACGACGAGCGATGCCGAAATCCATGATACGTAGCGTACAGTCCCTCTTGACGCCGATATTGCTAGGTTTCAAATCGCGGTGCAGGATGCCACCACTCTGCAGGTACTTCAAGCCACACAATAGCTGATAAAGGAGGTACGATACGACTTCCATGTCTAGAGATGTCGCCTGTCGCAACTGACCGTCCATCAGCTCCATCACCAAATAATAATCCCTGAAATGCTCTATGTCCTTCTGAGGCGTGAATGTGTTGTACAGTCGAATCACCTGCAAACGAACAACATCAAAATCGAATGAACACTTAATGTGTAGAACCATAAAAATTTGTCGAATGATAGCAACCAGTTATGACCGGTACGAGTGAAACGTGGGTTGGTGAATTATTAAAAGAAATTACTACCTCTGCACCGAATGGGTAAAATTACAACTTCAAAACGAACGAGTCTGATGCCAGCCAGAGAGTAAAAACATAATTTAAACGAATGAGATAGATGCTTCAAAAAATAGTTGCCCATTATAATTTGATGTCTATCACTTGTTCGTGTGCACTAAAATGTTAATTTCCGTATATGGTTAACCTACATTAGAAATGAATACGCAATTGTTTAATACGAGCATTCGAGTTTGAATCGATAACTAAAGTGCTACGTAAGGGTCTAAAATTTGACGAATGACCCAAAACAGCAGCAGAATCCTGACAATTTAGACCACTTTAGGTGAAACTGAACCTGTTGAAACTGAATGGGGTCGGCCAAGAGTTTTCAGATTTTACAGCATCTCTATTTAAGGATGACCGCCACGTCACAGTGCAGTAATAAGTTTTATTTTTACTCTTCATCAATAGCCAGTTGTAGGATTACTGTCTTTGCATTACAGCAGTATCGCTGTACGTTACCGCTAATCGGTCAGATTCCTTACTTACTTCACAACTAATGTACACATGCTCTCCTTCCATGAGGGCGACCCCGGCCAACGGAAACTTATGCTGAAAGATCAATTCCATTCATTCCGGTGATTCCATTCAATTAAACAATATTCACTCATACCTAGAGCTGTTCCATCATTCATAATCCGTGAATGCGCCCGTATCATTTCACCTTGTCTCAGTAAAGAAACCGAACCGACCACAAAGACTAATGATGAACATCGACCGTAAATCTCTTAACTACTGAAACAGACTACAATTTCTTCAACTTCCATCGCCGCTACTCCTTTCGGATCGCAGAGACAGACGCGTCAGACAGAGCTTCCAACGTTCCCGATCCTGTGCAAGAGTCTGAGCTTCGGCAGAAGAAACTGGAGTCTGAAACCGACTCCATCCACGTATTTGCACCAGATTAATAATCTTGGCCGTCCCCTGGGCCTTCTGCCGGTCGGATTTGCAAGGAACAGTTGCTTAGTCTTCTTTTCTGGAGGCATTCGCAACACACGCCCAAGCCATCGCAGCTGTGACTTCTCAATCTGGAGAAGCAAAGGCTGTATACCACGGCTCTCCCGGATTCTGTGTGCTGGACCATGTCGAGACGCGACCAGCGTCTCGTCTAAGAAAGTCCATTTCAGCAGCTTATATCCGGGTTCGAAGTTTTTCAGTGATGGTCCAAGACTCATCACCTAGGTAAGCATGCGGATAACGATCGACTTGAATGGCGAAAGCTTAGTTTTCAGACTGAGCTCCGCTTTAATTACAATGGATCGGGCTAGTTCACGCACAGATCTTACAAAGTCAACTCTTACTTAAACAATTCAAAACGCCGTGTGTATGGGGGGCCGGAGAGGAGAGGGGGTGATGGAGTTGTAATGTTACTTTGCATCATTTATGGAGGTTCTATTGTCGGACAGAGTAACATGCTCTAATTTTCATTTTCTAATTCCCCAGAGCAAGTACCTTATCTGAAGTGTTTCTATGCAACCATCGAAAAATGGGTGGTGTCGCTGACCTGCGAAAAATACAATAATCATGCTGATTTCGCACGGTCATACCAGAGCGTACGAGACAAACAGTCATGCTGCTGATGCGCACACTTTCCGAATGCAATTCGCCTTGACCCATATGTCCGTTAACCAGTAATCAGAATAAGATATAAACGATAAAAATTGAATAAAATTAAATCCTGGAAAGGTCAAACGCCCCTTGAGTACTAAATGCATTGTAACGTCGCAATTCATGTTGAAAAACAGAGGGATATAATCTTTGTAAAAAGTTTCGAGGCCACGGTTTCCGTTGTCGCATGTAAAACGCAATGCTCTCGCCTAACACCACTCAGGCAGCTGTCAAATCAGTTCTTCGTGCCATTAAAGTATTCCGTCAGAAAATTAACTGCCCTGACTAAAATTGTCTTTTGCCATAAGAATTATGACTAGAATCGTTTTCGCAGTAACTTCAACCCGGTTTCTAACTGCGAAAATAAATAACGGGTTCGCTGTGAAAAACTATGCTAAACAGGGATTCCAAAACACGAAACGACAGCAACTCTGGGGAGCTGCTCCCTCCACCAGCCAGCAACCACAGGAGCAGTGATTAGACTTTATAGCAAAAAGCTGAATATCGAATACACATACAAAACCAGCAGAATGTTCAAAACTACTGGAACGCATTCTGCATGTCATAATTCGATAGGTCCATCATGACATCATCTGAGCATCTGATCTATGTTGACGTACGTCATAATTAAACGTTAATTATTAATAAACGACTCACATTTGGATGTCGGAGAGCGTTCATTAGCGTCAACTCCCGGTAAGCCCGTTTGGCGAAAACATAGTCTCTGAAAGGTGACAGCAACTTTTTGATCGCTACGTGGCGTCCATTTTCGCTACTGCAAGCCGTGTCTGTAGCGGAACTGAAACAGGGACTGCCTTGTATTAAACAGTATATAAAAACAAGTTCCAATGCAAATCATATGAAAACTAAACTAATTAACATAGTGATCATGCATACACTACAGAAATTATGAAGAAGTTTTATAAATTACTCTAGCCATCGCATAATTAGACTATTTGACATAAATTTATCATTCACCGAAAGAATGAAGGTAAGGAAGTGGTGTAATATTCATGCAAATAACGTACAACTGATACTCGTCATATACGACAAACCTGTCCTGAAGGGAATATCAGTCTGTACAATTCTTCCCACTGCACGCAAAGTAAAAAGAGTCAATGCACGCTGTGGTGATACACTTGGGAGATATGGGCGGATAGAACTGCAGTGAGTAACACGAAATAAGACTTTCTCCAAGGTAAAACCGGTAAAATTGGTGCTATGAATTTAATATCGACCAAACTGACTACAAACGTGGACCACGCTGCATGGTCAGAGACAATTTAACCCGAAGCGAGAGTTTCGATAATAACAACGAACAAAGCCACGCGGAACTGTATAAGAACAACATCTTAATGACCTAGGGGGCGACACTACGGTAAATAATATTTAATTACGAATTTCACTTTTCTTCTATATATAACACTGCATATTACGACTGTCTGTCGAAACACTTGTTAAGATAGATATTCTTACAAAATAACGCAATAAACGGACTATACACTTCGGCAAAAACATGATCGTTCCAAAAGTATAAACTTTAGATGATAAAGTAGTTTGAAAACACTTGTAGCTGAGTGCTTATTTGAAACAGTTATGGTCACTTAGGTTAGGATACACTTAACTGCGTTGGGTGACAAAGTCAAAACTGTAAAGAAAGCAATTTGATCACTAGACAGAATGTAGGTAAACCAAACTACGATAAAGATAGAAAGACGAATGCTAGAAACCTGAGCTGAACTGTGCGATGTCGTGTTGCTGCCACTGCCAGATCAGACTGGAACACTGCAGAAATGCAAATAACACGAAATTCCTCAGAATCTTGAGAGGACAAAAAGAAAGTTATCTGCTGCGATCAATCTTAGTTGACAGGCAAAAGTCTGCATTGAAGACTGATCCTAGAGTGGGGGGGGGAATATGGGATTTGGATACAGAACATCGAGGCAGGCTTGTTTACGATGAAAAAGATGAAGTTTTCCACCCAAGTCAGTTAAATCAGTCTGAGACACGAATCGTCGTACATCTTTGATCATGCATCTGAACAACTCAGCTACCCAAGCCTTGTTAATCGTTAATTACGAGGACTGTAGCGAAGAGTAACAATCGTCTGCAGAGGTGCATAAGTATTGCTTTTTTTGTATTCATCTGCTTTGCAAGATACGTGACTAGATGCAAAACAAACAATACCCTGAAGCTCTTGTTTCACTGAAATATGAAGCCATAATAAACCTGGGCAAAAAAGTTAAAACGGTTATGAGTGGATTTACCAACGATACATAACAAACAAACTAAATTATGAATTATTGCAAGGTGGGCCGCAGATCTTGTATTGGTTAGTAATTCTCATTCGATGTGTGCAAGATTAAATCTACGTTTGCGATACAAAAATGTTTGTCAGCTTCATGCACTATACACTGCATTTGAAGTCTATCTTGGACATTAGATTAAGATATCGAATACTAACATCATAACTCTTTTTGAACAAGCATCATAAGCCGTTCGTACGTCGGAGCATATCAAATAACGTATAACTATAGCAAGACAACATTTCATAGTGCACTGGAGGGCCCTTCGGTCCTAGTCACCTAGGGAAATCATATTTGAGCACTTGCATTGCCAAATGGCATCTTGCGTCATTTTATCCGCTACAGCCACCTCACAGACGATGATGCTACCCTGTGCGAAAGGAAACAGGAGGCGACACGCCACATTTGTCCACGTTACTGTGGACATAATATAAGACACTCCTGGCTATTGCATAAAAGCGAGGATCAGTGTCACATGGCATGGGTTATGAAAACAGCGCGTCCACCATGGAAGCCCAGTGAAAAGCACCATCCCTGCAGTACCAAACTTTAAGTTTTGAGAAGCTGTATTGCACCGAGTTTTCTGAATGTCGATTACTGAAGTGGCAGAAAACATAATGTTTTCTCTTCATTTCCTAAAATTCATCAACTACTTCTGTGTCTTGTTGCTCGGTATTACATTTTAGAGACATCTTTTGCTTAGCATGTAGAAAACATGACAAACACGTTTCAATCAGTCTTTGTTGGGCATGAATAAACAGTTGCTTCCCTACCAAGTTCAGCGTCTGCTTTGAAGGTTCCAAATACGTTCAACTCGCTCTAGAGTTTGTAATGCTGCAAAAGTCACACTGAGGTGCTGATAACACATGCATCAGGAGGACTGATTTTCTGTGAAAGAAGCTCCTTGACATCAAACAGGCGAAATTTCAGTTGCAACATTACTACAACAAGTAGGGATCGAAATTTGAAAGAAAATACGTTTTAGCGTGACAACCACGCAAATCTGTCAAATTGTAAGTCACCAAGGGGTAGAAAGGTCAATGAGTAGACAAGTAGCTATAAGAACAGTGAAAAATCGCTATATGGGCCTTCGAAATTGACTTCATCATAAAAAGTCCACTGAAGTACACAAAATATTTCAGAAAGTGCAAAAAGATACAGAACTGGCGATCATACTATGGTAATCAAATCAACCACTCGGAATTTGTTCGATGTAAAACTGGTGATGTTCGGCTGCTGTTGAAGCCTATCGATTAGCAACGAACCATTTATACAGAGGGCTTTAAAATTCACTGAACCAACTACCACACATACCTTAAAAAAAGTGACTTTGCTATATCATCTGAAAGACCGACTGTGTTAATGTTAATGATTATGATAATGTTAACGCTATAATAAAAAGTGTTTATGCTGCATTTCAAAAAATGCATGGAATGAGACTAAGTTTTAGTCTGGACTTAATTTACACCCGAAAATAATTTCACTGTCGTAAAAACAGTTGAAAACGCACGAAAGCATACAAAAAAGAATCAGATATGCGGCCAAAGAATATGGAAAAAATACTCACAAACTTCAACAGATCAATTCACATTAAGAAGAGAAACGAACTCGCACTTTCATTCAGACAACCAGGTAATAAATAAATGAGGCAATAAGACATGCACAGACTTTGTTGTAGCATATATGCAATTTGCCTATCTTATCGGCAGACGAAAGGCGTCTTCGTAGACGCCACGTACGTTTCTGATTGGATGTTCAAGCCTCATGAGTGAGGCCTTTCATCCAATCACACCAAATTCACTCAATCAATAATTGGATAACGAGACGAGAGAAGACCAGAAAGGAATAAGGAGTTGGGAGAGAGATAGATAACGCGTTTTAAACCGGTTAGGACGGCAAGAGAAAACGCAGAGGGATAAATCTCAGGGTGGCCCCGCGGGACAATCGCAACTGTGAAAGTCCGTATCCATTCACAGCTGGGTGAACTGGTGGTGAGTGGAAAAAGTCAGCTCCGAACTGCAAGGGAACTAACACAACGTGATCGACACCTTAATTGTTAAGCCTCCCCCCCCACATCGCAACGAGTATCAAAGGAACGTCACGAATTATGTATTAGCAAAGAAATAATAATATAATATCATAACTTGAAACGTGTGAAAAACAAGCTTAGCTATGTTGCAAATTATTGACTATTGTAACTCCACTCAAAGACTAACTTGTTTATTTCTCTGCTTTGAAGCTTGTATTTTTTGTCCAAGTTCGGTGCAAATCTGCAGAAAGTTAAATTGAAATTTTAGATCCGTTTTTTAATAAACAATCTCAACTTTTTAAAGGTTCATACTTACCACCAAAACCGTGTGTCTCACCACAATGAATATGAGAAAGAACCAAATCATCATTCATTCATTAAGTAAAGTGACGCATAAGAAAACTGCTTTAAAGTAGTTGTTGAGAGACGTTTAACTTCCGTTTCGAAGAGACTTTCATATATAATAAGTCATATATTACTAATAAACGGTATTCGACTTGCATAAGCCAAAGATCAACAATGTAGGAAGAAGGTAGCTGACACATTTACTTCATCCGTTGTTCAAGACTTACCGAAAAATGTGAAGGTGAGTAGCGCAGGAAAGAAAGGAAGCTGTGATCGTTACCGATGAGGAAAACATCTGCAATGTTGGCACCACAGACCATCAATGACAGCAGTGGTATATTAATAACCAATACGAAGTTTACTTTTAAAGTTTTATCACCTCAGACACGCTATATGTGCTGTATGTTATCTGAAACAATTCTCGTGTTCTGGCACGTGTGATAGACATTAGGTACTTCGGAACAAATCGGAAAATTAAGAAGCTCAGTCATCTGGGAAATTTGTTAGAATGTTACACGAAATATTCGCAAAACAAACTCCCTTTAAATAATCACATGACAGGTGCTAGAAGGAAAGATGAGTATATGAATTTCCTTGAAGATCTGACCCTTTTTCACTTAGAATGCAGCGTTTGAAACGCATACAACTGCTTGAACCCGCTGCCTAAAGAGTCCGAAAGGAATAGCGACAATTAGCGAATGAATACTCCGCTATTGTTAAGGTAACGCGCTGATTATGCGATTAACATACTCTAGTAAGTTTCTTCTACTCTCTCTGTCTCCTTGCAGTTCTTGTTTTGGCTTTTCTACTGCTTTTTCCTGCTCCGAACGTCTAGACCGAGTCAGCACTGATCGTCACTAACTGTCCTTAGACTTACCACGAGAGATGTAGCTTTCGATTTACCTGGAGAAACAGGTTAGGGAAACAGCTAATATCAATAGCGTGTCAAGCGTGCATTGTTTATGCATAAGAACGAAAACGTTGAACTTCGTATAGATCTAATTGCGAGAGCAGAGCGAAACGTTGGATTTCGTTCCGCTGAGTGTCCCTCTACAACATGAATGGTAGAACACAATAAATGCATCTTTAATTGAGTCCTGCATAACATCACAGATTTAGCTTTGCATTCATTCATTTTACCTTGTGCAGTACTCGTCACATTAATGGTGATCTTTTCTTAAGGCCTTGTGTAGGTCTCAGTCGAGAATACCGTTCTGAAGTACTATTACCTCAACTTCCAACAGCAGCAGCTTTTCCCAGAATTCTACGATTTCAGTGTGCCTCGAAGCCGGCCACCTGACGCGCCCCCGGCTTGCCAACAAAGCAACAATCTCCAGATATAGAGGTGAGCTGCGACAAATAAGCAGTCGCAGACAGACAGCGGTAAGACCACCACAGCACAGTTGGGTTCGAGCGTCACACGCTCGTTGCTTAGAAAAAATGTTGCAATTCCTAATGACAATCTTATGACGAGTCGAAGGTGCCCTGTCTCGTAGAATTAAAACACCGCTGTACTGCGTTTAGACTTCGTATCGTCAAACGCTAGAAGACATCATTCGTTTAGAAATTTTAATAATTTTTCATGCTGCAAACCATTAATCAAAAGATGTGTTATCTGCGTTCATCTGTGAAGTTAATTTTGCCGAAAAAATTGAACTAGAACTGAAAAGCTCTCCTCGGCATCAGCTGATCGTTTTGACCTCAATGGACTGTGAAACACCCCCCCCCTGATCTGTAACTTAACAGAAACCTTGTTCATCTTGTCTTATCATCAGTACGTACATCCGAACAGTTGTTTCACCACCTCATGCCTGTCACAGCCACGGTTATGCTGAAATTTAGTATGATCAGTACATTTTGTGTTGATTCCGCTAATACACTACATTCTTATCTAAAGCTAAATATAGTTACACAACAAAGTTGACACTTTAACCATATTGTGCTAATGATTAATGAAAATTTCTATCTTCCATTGAACTCGTTACATTTGTTATTGCGTTCGCACCGCAAGACAGCAGTCATGTAAAAACAAGGTGCATATTTGAGAAAGAGAGAGAGAAACGAACAGGAGTCGAAAACTGGCAGCAACTAGTTTCTTTAGCGCTGCTCGTTCAATGTACTGACTGCTGCTTTTACATGATAACAACGAAAGAGAAGATCATTTCTGCGATTATTATGATGTCTGAACTGAGCTGAAATAGCTTCAGCAATGAGAGAGGTCTTGACGCACTGGAGTGGCAAATGCAAATAAGACTAGACACGCTAATGACTAGCTCGTTATTTACTTTGTTGACACTGTGGCATATTTATTAGGGCACAAACAACTAAACTTAATAGCCAGTCACTGGCTGATTATGGATTAGACAAACATCAACAGTCATTTTACACAATCAATATTTTACTTCTGCAACGACCAGAAACGTTAATCATTGTTGTTAATTCGTGTAGGAACAAGAATAATCGCAGAAACAAGCAACAGACCTGAAACAAACAGACAGAAAATGCTGAAGTCGAGAAAGGTTACTTCAGAAAGGGATTGCACTGACAAGCACCACAAGATAAGATTGTATTCTCAGCAACGGTGAGAAATATAAACCTCGTACTTCTCCTTCAGTAAACTACTTTAGCCATCTGCGAACCTGAAGTGCTTTCACACAGTCGTAGAAAATAGTTAATTTCCCAGTTCTTTCAGCAAAATGTTGATTTTACTTTTTTCTATCCAAATTTAGTCCAACTCTTAGCGATTCAGTCCTGCCCGAAAACATCTGAAATGCGAAATAAACGTGAACATAACGCTACTGTTATCGATCGCTGCATTATCAAACAGATATTATCTGTACGTACCTCAGATGTTACACAGGAAACGGTATAGTTTTAACATACATGCAATGACTAGCGTATACAATGGTTTCTAAAAACTACTGACAAAACAGCCGTAACATTACGAAGGTATGATAATCGGAACGTCCTAATCATGGGTCTCTCAATCTGACACGAAAGTATTACCAAATGAAAGTGAGACGACAGAAGTGAGATCTGAACTATTCACTTCTCTTTCCTCAGTTAAACTATGCTATTAATAATTATAACCTCGTTTCTAAAGCATAATTCACCTGAACCGATAATTATAAGAGCCTCAGATTCAGACAGTATGATATTGTTACTGCGGATGGGATATGCAATCGAACTTGACTAAACGATGACTTCAAGTCAGGAATACGTACAATACGTACCAAACCATGCCTTGGGCACCAAATCCAATGATCTGCAGATTCTGATAGCGGCGGGGGATGATCATCTCTGTATCCTGGACGATCACCTTGTAGAATTCGTCCCCGTCTTCCTCAAAGGTAGTGACGACGGAGGCTGAAGGTGCCATGGCGGGAGAAGGAAGGGCGACGTCAGTTGTTACGCGGGAGGTCCTCAACACAGGCTTAAGAAAACGACGGTGATTAATAAGCAGAGCGCGCCACCACGCTTTGCTTCGCGCTTCGCAAACCGGATGTCTGCCGCCGCAGACACAATGACGAGAGGCACTCGAAGAAGGTCTTGATTTTGAGGAAGCACTATACTTGAGGAAAATGGGGAGGAGGGAGAAACATTTAGCAAAATCGTTCAACAGATGATCTCTCTCACCTCACGATGGCTGTTTGTCACACACTGACGAATGCAGTGATATACCAGTCAATGGGGAAACAGTCGTCGACACACCCCAACAAGTAGTGACCTGCTGCGGCTGGCCGATTCATGCTTACACCCGCGCACGGAACCTCGTCGACGACAGACCATTGGTCACGTGAGACACTGGACAGAAGCGCCTCTGGTGGACGAATAAACTTTGTGTAACTGCAAACTTCGGAAGGCACGATCAAGCAAAATGCTGGCCGGCGTCGCTGACTGATTCACCGCCGTTCGAGGTCGATGAGCATTGTAGGTCGTGGCGCTTTTCTACGGAATTCCCGATGTTTGGTTTTTTTGAAAAGTCGTATTTTCCTGATGGGTGCTTTTCTCTGAGATATTTACGTTCTGATCCACAGAGGGAAGCCAAGCCTCACGGACCAGACGTTACCCTCATGATCATAACGACAGCGACGTTGGTACGGTTCATCAGATGACCTTTACCAGAAACATGTCATAGTGCGCATATAGGGCTCCAACAGAAACCTGGCCTGAGGCCGGCCGGCCGGCCGGACCGGTTGTCGCCGAAATTAATCATCCGATCGACGAAGGATAGTGGAGAGGCCGAAGAAAGAACAGGCGCGAAATTCGAAAGCATACCTGTCGAGCGATGCATCGCCAGGAGGAATTCTTTACAACAGACTGTTATTTCAGCAACTTCCCAGTCCCTGTCCCCCTCCCTTCCCCGTTTGAACAGCTGCTCCATGGTTAGAAATCATCAAAGGACGATTGTTCATTCATCTGGATGACTGCTGACGACTATAGCAACAGATGACCGGCGAAATTGCTACTTTCTTACCTACTTAACTGGCCTGCAAGTCACAACGACGTCCAGCCATTCACTACATGGTGGCGCGGTGGCGCACTTCACTTCACCACACTTAACGCTGCTGGCTGTCGTCTTAGCCGTCTATCACGCGCAGCTCGTCATTCTGTGACGATCGGTCGATGCACTGGTATCATAAATTGAAAGGATATCGTCACCAGCAACGTGAAGTCTTTGTATTTAATCGACGAAGATAACAACATAATCTTCACTGTTTGGTCGTACGGTGAGACCGACTATTACATGGATTCGGATTTGGGAGTGATTTGACAAGTCCTTCACTCCTCAATTACTCAGAAACTGTTCATTTGCGGAGGACTGTTCACTAACTACCCGAGAGGATCATCTTACCCATCACCCATCAGCATCATCATCAACATGTTTACTGTTTGCAACTTTACTATTGATTGACAAGTCTGTCAGCGCTAGTTATGCAACAGTTCACTTTTAACTGTACAACGAACTACTAAACCATGTGACATAAACTTAACTGGTGATTTTCTGCAAGATTCCGTTCGCATATCTACCTGACCTGCTTTGAACTGATCAGAGTTATGAATCGAATTAGAAAAACGCTAGACGACAAACTAATTGTGCATGTGCATGAGTCATATAACCTCTTCCTGAAAACCTAGGAACA